CACGAAAGAAGCAGTGAGAGGCTCCAGAGTCCAGCGTGAACGACAGCGAACCGTCCTCTGAGGTAGCCGCTGGACTAGAGTCTACACAAGAACCTACACTAGCAACAGGCAACTGAGCAAGGCTAGCACCTAAGCTAACAACACCAGAGTAAACAGAGTCAGAAACACTAGAGTCAACAACAGCATACATAGCATGGGGATTACCAATCAGATCAACTAACTGCTCAGCAGACATGCCCCACAGAGCGGAGCCGTAACGCTGAACAAGAGGCAGCCAGTCAGGGGCAGGAGCACCAACCCCGTAGACCAAACGAACCGTGTCAGTGAGCTGAGCAAAGCACTGACCAGGGGGGTGAAACCGGCCACAAGGGTGGCCACGACGAGTGCCTGTCAGAACCTGGTAGGTGCAGGGAGTGTAAGCAGCACCGCGCTGGGTCTGACGCAGCCCCGACCCTGGAGCCAGCTGCTGCCGCTGCTGCTGCTGAGGCTGCTGGGAGGAGAGGGGCTGCTGGTGCTGCAGAAGCTGCTGCTGACGCTGAGCCTGGTACCACGCCGCTGCTCCACCAACCGGGGCAGGAAGTACAGGAGGCGACTGACGAACTCGGGCGTCGCCACCACCAGCAGGCGCAGTGGAGTCACCAGTCACTGCACGAGGCGCCTCTCCAGGCCCTGAACCTCCACCGCCGCCAGGCGCAACGCCACCTCCACTACCTCCGCCTCCACCTCCACTACCACCACCAGAACCGCCTTTCTTGCCACTCCTACCGCGGGACCGCGACGCAGTCGTAACAGCAGCTGCAGTCGCGTCAGTAGCGGCAGTGGCAAGTGAGGCAGTAAAGGTGGGTAACTGCGGGACTGTGCACCCGTGGAAGAGTGGGGGGGGCACAGCACCAGAGGCAGCGGCTACCGAGCGAAGGTTGCTCTCGACGTCCTTGAGTGCAGACTCAAGGACCTCGACGGTGAGCTCACTAGGGTGCTTCAGCAGAAGCGCGTCGCGAACGGAGGCAAGGCGGTCAGGGAGGCTAGTGGCGATGAAATAGATAGTAATCGCCATAGGGGGAGGAAGCAGTGCAAGCTGTGCCTCAGTGCAAGCAGCGCGGTAACTAGCGTCGAGCGAGCGGAGGTGAGCGATCAAGTCAGCAGAGCGCTCAAAAGACGCTAGGTCAGGAAACAGGAACGGGAGGAACAGGCGGCCAAGAGAGACAGCAGCGGGAGTAGAGTAGCGGGCCTTAATCGCAGTGAGGTACTCAGCAGCGGTGCGAACCTGAGTGAAGTGAACCTCCTCAGACTCAGGGAGGAGGCTGCTGAGCGCGATGCAGGCCGCAGCGTCACGTGACGTCCAAGCCGTCTGGTCAGCTCGCTGAGTGGCAAAGCGGGCTCTAGCGGCGTCGTCAGGGGCAGGTCCTAAAGGCGTAGGGTCGGGGGGCGCAGGTAGGGCACCAGTAGCGTGCGCCCAGCTCGCCTGCCTGGACCTGACTCTCTAACAGACGGCGAGCACGAAGAAGCCAGACGGAAAAATCAAGAGGTCTACCGTCAGCGTCGAAACGAAGGACACGCTGAGTCGCCATAGTGAAAACGAACGCGAACGGAGAGGGAGGGGACAGCAGTAGGTGAGAGGCAAATTAGGGTTCGGCGGTACTCTGGGACAGGGGAGGAGCGGACGCCACAGCGGGCGTGACAGCGGGAGGTAACAGGGGACTAAGCAGCGGGGAACGGGAACGGGCGCAGCGGCGGGCGATGGCAGCGCGCTCGGCAGCAGGGGCCAGCAGCGCGCGCAGCGGGCGACGGCAGGGGGCGCAGCGGCGACGCGCGCAGCGGCGGGCGACGACGGCGGGGCCGCGGCGAGGCGCGCAGGGGGCGGGCGACGGCGGCAGGCGCGGCGGCGACGAGCGCGGTCGCGAGCGACAGTGGCGGGCGCTGCGGGACGGGCGACGCGACGGGGGGAGAGGGCGGGAGCGACGGGACAGGGGGAGGGCGACGCGACGGGGGGAAAGGGGCGGGTGCGACGGGACAGGGGGAGGGCGACGCGACGGGGGGAAGGGGCGGGCGCGACGGGACAGGGGGAGGGCGACGCGACGGGGGGAAAGGGGGGGCGCGACGGGACAGGGGGAAGGCGACGCGACGGGGGGAAGGAGCGGACGCGACGCGACGGGGGGAGCGCGACGCGACAGGGGGAAAGGGACGGGCGCGTCTCGAGGGGGGGGAAGGCGACGCGACGGGGGGGCGGTAACAGCTGGAACGATACGAACGAGAGCGTGGGTCGTTGCTAGGCTCGGTAACAGCTGGAACGATACGAACGAGAGCGTGGCTCGGCGCTAGGCTCGGTAACAACGAGAAGGAGACGAACGAGAGCTAGGATCAGGCTCGGGTGGTACGAACGGAGAACGGCGGAACGGGATCCCACAGGATCCTAACCTAACTGATACCATGTCAGAATGAAGAATGGATGATGCATTGATGTTGGTTGGGGTACATATAGCTAACCCTAAGTTTTGTACCCCCTAAGACAAACCTCACTATAGGCTACAACATTTGACAGGATGTTGAGGAGGAGATGGGATGGGATGCTCCGTGGGCGGATGCACCCTACTTGGTAGACATGCGGGTTTAGAGGGTGGGTTTAGGGGGGGGTTTTGGTTCGATGGGAGTGCAGTTGGGGTGTTTTGATGGGATGGTTAGATGGGGTTTCAATTGTGTGTGCTATTGGGGTTTAGGGTTTCTTGAGGTTGTGTCTTGTGTTTTTTCTTCCTTTTTCCCGGTTTTTCTTCCTCCTACCGTTTTCTCCCTATTCCCTTCCTTCTTTCTTCTTCTTTCCTTTTTTCTCCTCACGTTATTCCTCCTTTCCTCTTCTCTTCCTGTTCCCACTCAATTTCCTTGCGTAATTGTGCTAAAAAAAAACAAAAAACATACTCAACTATTTGGGCACATGTTAATCCATTTCCCAGCATCATAATTATTGGAGCCTCAACATTTGTGCATGAGCTCTCGAGGAGCTATCCCTGGTTATTACCTGCCTACAGTATCACCAATTTGGGTCCAGCTCCCTCGAGCTGTAACCGAGGGATTCAGTTTGGGCTGTGCATAGCTCTTGCATGACCCACTCTTGTGTTCGCTTGTGGAATATCTCCTCTCATTTTCTTTTATGTCCGCACCGCATTCACCTCCGTCTCAGCGCTCGTTCGTATGTGAATATAGATTATTTTTTCGAATCAGTACCTGCATAAGCTTTCAGTGACAAACGTTAAAAGCTCGCATTCCTGGTCGCTTCTTTCTTCGAGCGAAGTCTGCCTCGTCCCACGCTTCGCTGAATGGGTTCCCGCATGAGCCTACCGAGAGTAAGAGAAGGTCCAGAGATCCGTTCCCGAATGTCGGCGCTCGATGGCGGTTATTCCAATTCCACCACCTCCTCTTCATCCTTCCGCCGAAAGCGCATTCTTGCCTTTGACTGGATTACCCGATCCCCCGGCTTCCGCAAACCGAAGCCTAAGCGTCGGCGGAAAGCAAGCAGCGGTTCCAAGCGTGAGCACCCTAACCCTAACCAACTGCCGGTCGCATCGGCACAGAGCTCTCAAGGATCGTGGCTGAGAGAAATTCCGCCTGAGAAAAACTGGGCCGAGAAGTATCAGCAGCCTCGGCAGCAATGGCATGGAAGCGCGGGTTCGGAGAGTCAAGCGATTCACGAAGCAGTGACACGTCAGCCTTCCGCAACGAGAAGTTCCGAGAGACACGAGACGTTGATTGGCTACGATAGCGGGAGCCTGCCGAGGCACGAGGCGCCAGCTATGCCAGTTCCCACAGGCCTAGCAGCGAAAACAGTGGCGGCAGCGCAGAATGTGCCGCCTTGGGAATGCCGAGTGGATCAAGCCGAGCAACGTCCTTGGATCAGTTTTTCTTAGCCGTCGCGAACATGGTTCTGAGAATTAGGAAACCCGGAAATTTAAGACAGCGCAAGCAGACCTCCGTTTTCTATTGGACACCTTAGAAAACAGGGGGTCCAAGTCCCTTTGCAGTGGCAGTTCCTCTGTTTTTCTATTTTTCTCTCACGTGCTTTTCCCCGTTCGCCTAATGGGCCCTCGTGGTAGTCAGGTCATGATTTCAGCTACTGTCTGGCTCTTTACCGCATGACCTTCCCCACTTCTGGCGCTCGTTCGACCCAGGGTGTAGAGTAAGTCTATATGCAGAAGTACCCTGTGTCAAATTTACCCCCCTGTATTTACATTTGTACTATTATAATCAACCACAACAGAGCTCTGCTGCAGTCCCTGCTCCTTGGTTTAACAGCATAAGTCTGATCTACAATGCCTGCAGTGCATACCAGGCAGCATGCAGAGCACAAGCATATGGGGCCCCGAGTATACCATTCCCTCAGAGCAGAGTCAGGATAGAAGCACAACAATCCAGGACCTGCATGTGATGTGAGGTACGTAACCCTTGAATTGGACCCTGAAATAGCATGCTGAATGAGTGAACCGGACAGAATCTTCGATCTCACCAAATCTTCTCACCAGCACTTTCAAGTCACAGCAGGATGCGGGAAACTCAGCACTTGACACTGACCAGCAACTACCATCCACAAGCACACACGCAGCTGACAGTTCAGCTGCCTTGGAAACCCTTGGTGCATGAAGGCAGCACAGCCTGTTCACCTGTCAAACTGTTAATATGAGTATTGGCCGAGCTTGGTGCCAGCTCCAAGCACATGGCATCGACCAGAGCCCACTCTGCTTCCTTGCTGTCCTCCAGAACCCCAACCAAAGGTTGAAGCTTCTGCCCTTGGACTGACCCATGAGTACTTGCTTTGCCCTTGTTGAACGGTAGCAGTATGAGAAACCCCAACAGTCTTGTGCAATAATATGCATCTCTCACAATTGAAAGGCGGAGCCGCTCCCCAAGGTCTGGCCCACGAGCAAGTCCTTAGCAGGTCCTTAGAATGTCCTTAGCAGGTCCGTTGCCTCCAGGAAACCCCAAACATCTCTCGCAGTGATGTGGATTTCTCACTATCAAAACGCAGAGCCGCTGCCCTTGGTCTGGCCCAGGAGCAAGTCCTTAGCCTCGTTGATCTTGGACGCCAGTAGGTCGCTGCCACCTGCGTCTGGATGATTGGCTGTCATCACCCGTCTGTGCGCCTCCCGCACCTTCTCCTGTGCTGCACTCTCCCTGAAACGTGGGATGATGTGGCAGGGCGTTGCAAATGTAAGCAAAGTTGAGAAAATGTAAGCCAGGTGTTACAAATGTAAGCTAGTTATTGATGAAGGGTGCGTGCAGGTAGAGGAGACCTAAGAGAAGCTTCTACCATAGCTGAATGCAACAAAGAAATAAAGAATCGTCATGATGAGGTATCAGATGGCACGCAGGCAGATGCATCGGATCATGGTTCCAGGCTGTCACGCAGGCAAATACAAGACGGGAAAATGTCAAGATGAGCACATGAAAGGATGCATGCATTATAGGATGGACGCAAGATACGATACTACGGGCGCACCCGCACACGAAATGGAAGGCTCATAAAAGGATCCCAAGAGCCAGAGGCACCGTTGGCCGATGTACGCGTTATAGGATGTACACAACGCACAGACCTGATCCCAAGAATGAGAGCAGCCTCTCGTCGCGTCATAGTAGGCTGGAAGCCCCCCTCGTAGAAGCGCCGAATGCGCGGCACGGCAGGTCGCGCTTTAAACGCCTGCCACGCCTCTATGCCGTACCGCGCCGCGAGAGCAGCCGTTGCCACCGCGACTCCTGCGACGAACGGACTGGACTGCAACGGCGGAGAAAGGGGAAAGGGGAAAGGGGAAAGGGGAAAGGGGAAAGGGGAAAGGGGAAAGGGTGGCGGGTGATAGAAGGAGGACGCGTGATATGAGAGGAAGCAGAGAACGAACGACTGGACTGCAACGACGGAGGAAGGGAAAAAGTGATGGATCGCAAACGAAGAGACCGATGAACGAAGGAAAACGAAGGGAAGACAAATGAAGGACAAGACGGCGAGTCCAACGCCAGCGAATGGGGAACAAACGATTTGATCCATTAACGGACTGCACTGTGATGATGGAGGAGAAGTGAAGGGGGAACGGAGGAGAAAAAGAGGGACAAGATCAAGTTCTGCACAGGGGAATAGTGGAGCAGGTGCCGCATCGCATTCTGGCCAAAAAGGACGAGACTTCAAAGATGGAGATGAGACGAAAGAAGAAAAGAGCTCCAACCTACCACCAAGTATGTTTACTTCTTTCAAAGGACAGTCATACGGATTCAACCTACCATGATTGCGCGCGATGAATTCAGCCCTTCAAGCACAACACGACGCAGCCTCGCGACGATTTGAAGATATATGAAACCGGCGAGTCGAACACCCGCGACGAGCTAACAATTCTGGGGACTGGCGAGCCAGGAAACGGCAGCGTCGCGAGAGAGCGAGGTGGGAGAGCGAGGCGAGAGCACGGATCTGCCTAATCACAAGACTACTGGCTACCGAAGGTAACGGTACCACTAACACCAGTCACGGCCAGAGCTTTATCTCGCACCGCACGCTCTCGCTCTCTGGGAGACAACAAGCGAAACTAGCGCTTTTCAGAAAGCGATCTCGCAGGCTTTTGGGTAGCAGTGGCCGAGAGCCACAACGAGAAGAGTGGCGTGTCGCTGATGCTGCAAGCATGCACGAGAAGTTTCGAGAACAACTAAGCATTTCACAACGGTTGGCTTACGTCCTAGAACGTTCAAGTAGGGTTCAGCCGGATTTAATCTTATGAGATACGCGTCAGTGAGCTTCTCGCCGTTCGCTAAGCCGAATTCCAGTGAAGCTTGCACAATGACATCAAGCCAAAACAAAAATACAAACAGTGAGCTAGCTAACACAGGAAAGATGAATTAAGCAAACTACTGAGCAAACTCTAGGCCGTTTTGTAATGCTGTACACAAAATACAGCAATGCGATCCCAGGCCTCAGAGATTACATGGGGCGGGACAGAAAGCACAACCCGCACCCAGCCGGGCACACGGAATGCAGTGCCTGGGATCAAAACCACCCTCTGCTCTTGCAAAAGCTGCCTGCACCATGAAATGTCGTCCGGAAATGACGGGAAGGATGCTAGGTTTACATGAACCTGTGGTTTCGAAGAGAAATGCAGGGAGCAGGGAGGGGGGGTTGGGGGTGGTTTGAAACGGGAGGCGAAACATGAATATTTATGTAGGGTCTAGAGTGATTAGACATGGTGCACACACACACACACACACACACACACACACACACACACACACACACACACACACACACACACACACATGCAGAACAGCACATAATAGGTCTCACATGAAAACGCGCATGAGCTCACACGTATGTGTATGCACATAAACACACACACACACACACACACACACACACACACACACACACATACACACACACACATGCAGAACAGCACATACTAGGTCTCACATGAAAACGCGCATGAGCTCACACGTATGTGTATGCACACACACACACACACACACACACACACACACACACACACACACACACACACACACACACACACACACACATGCGCATGCACATCAATCCACCCACACACCATGATGAACATTCCTCCCTTCGGTTCACTGGGACACTCCAGGCCTGGAATGGCGCCGACGCGAGACATTAGCAGGTGCACGCACACCTGCTATATCTACAACTATTCTATACAGGTACACTAGCAGGTGCATGAACACCTGCTATATCTCCAACTACACTATCCAGGTACATGCATGGTGTTAATTGGCCAGTGCCCACCCACATACCATGAGGAACATTCCCCCCTGCGGTTCGCTGGGACACTCCAGGCCCGGAATGGCGCCAACCCGAGACAGGCTGGTGCGGGCGGCATCTGCCAGCTGGCTGCTGAGGTGGCGGAGGAACGAGGGCGGCGTGGTGTTGAGAACGGCAGGAAGGGCGGCCTGCGGCGAGGAATGGGGGAAGAGAGGAGGGTGAGGGGGACGGGGAGAGGGCGAGGGGAGAGGGGGACGGGGAGAGGGCGAGGGGAGAGGGGGACGGGGAGGGAGAGGGCGAGGGGGAGGGGGACGGGGAGAGGGGGACGGGGAGAGGGGGACGGGGATGGTGGTCAGAACGAATATAGCAAACGAGTAGGAAGAAGCACAAGTGGGTGGAAAGCACGGGCTGGAAACTCAGGCAAACGCCGTGGTAATGCTGGCCATGGAAAAGGACGCAGAGCCGCAGCAAAAGGCGATGGAGGATCACAGTACCTGGATGAGGGAGCATGGCTGAGGGGCGTACTGCAGGATTCGCTCCAAAGACTCTATGACCTGGTGGCATGGACGCATGGGAGGCATGGGAGCATTGAATCTGCTTTTTGAGAATTCTAACAAAACTTGTGGCACGGACGCATGTGAGCATGGGAGCACTGAAACATGGGGGCTTTGGAACATGGGGGCTTTGGAACATGGGGGCTTTGGAACATGGGGGCTTTGTAACATGGGGGCTTTGGAACATGGGGGCTTTGGAACATGGGGGCTTTGTAACATGGGGGCTTTGGAACATGGGGGCTTTGGAACATGGGGGCTTTGGAACATGGGGGCTTTGGAACATGGGGGCTTTGGAACATGGGGGCTTTGTGACATGGGGGCGTGGGGCAAGAGCATGGGATGCCAATGACTGAGGCGGAAGAAGAGGAGGCCTCAGCAGGAAACAGCGGTAAACGAGGGAGAAGTAGACACAATACGGGAAAAAAGAACTGAAACAAGAGAATCACAAAGGTGCAAGAAGCCTTTGAGGGCTCACTCACCCTAGCGTTTCTCAAAATGTGTTTGAGGGTCATGCATTGGATTGCAACCCACCATTTTTTAAAATAACCTCAAAACAGGTCAGCGCAAATCTCACCCTAGCATCCCTCAGGATGCGTCGAGGGTCGTGCACTGCGATCCACCACACCCGATTGAGTCAACTCTAAGGACCTCTTGAGTAAACTCAAAACTTACCCTTAGCCCCCCAGAATGCTGCAAGGGTCGTGCACTGCGATCCACTCCACCTCATCCGTGAGTCAACTATAAGGACCTAGGAGTCCGCTCAGAACTTGTTTTGAGACTTGTTTTGAGACGTCTCAAAACACACTATAAGGACCTAGGAGTCCGCTCAGAACTTACCTTAGCATTCCTCAGAATGTTACGAGGGTCGTGCACTGCGATCCACCCCACCCGCCACCCCGGCACCAGGAACCGCTTCGACAACGAGCTGACTGTCAGAATCGGCACACTGCTGCTGCTGCTGCTGCTGCCGCCGCTGCTGCAGAAGATGCTTGCTTCTGCACAGCTTCATGTGTCACCTCTCCACTAACAACATGCCCGTTACCGTTTCCCACATGCACCCCGTTACCAAGCATCCCATTGCTGCCTGCTGCTGCAGACGAGCTAGCAGCGTGGTCGGCATGGGATTGTTGGGGTTGTTGTGGATGTTGCAGGGCTAGCTGCATGGCTGCAGCACGCAGGGGGATGAAGGGCGAAGCTTCCTGGAAAGCGATGCCCTCGTACACCTCGTCAGCTATGATTGGTAGACGGAGGGCCGCTGCTGTGGTAAGGATCTGCGTTAAAGGGGAAGCGGATGAGAAGTGGGGAGGGGATGAAAGAGGAGAGGAGCGGAGGGGAGGAGAGAGCAAGGGAGGGGAGGGGAGAGCAAGGGAGGGGAGGGGAGAGCAAGGGAGGGAAGAGGAGGGGAGGTTAATGGAGGGAAAGGGAGGTGAGCGGATTAGAGGGAGAGGAGGATGAGTGAATTGAAATGTGGGATTCGCAGAAGAAAAATTTGGGCGTGTTACATTTTTAACTTCCGCCCGTCCGGACTGGCTTCCGTCCGGACATTTTTTTGGTTACCTTTTTTTCGTGAAAACTCGTCTGAGGGCTCGCAAGCACCCTGGCGACATCGTTAATGATCGGACCTCGGGCGAAAAAAATTGCATAATTTGCCATCCCAAGTCCTCCGGACAATTACCGTTTGATAAACGGACGGACGTAACAGTAACACAATTTCACTGGCGCACGAATACAAGTTTCCAAGTCACTTGGGTGTTACCCAGGTCGCAACAGCGTCCTACACATGGTTACATTTTCGCGAATAATTGGATTGTCGTTGATATGAAGAAGTGTGAGAAACAGCGTGCGGACGAGGCTCAGTTCGGACGCTGGACTAGGACCGTTCAACAATATGTATCCGAACGATTTCCGGACGATTGTCTGGACGATTTCAAATTTTAAAAAATGTAACACGCCCTTAGTTCTTTACCAGTTGTGCCTGGAAATAGCTCAGAACTCACCTCCACCAGATGCTGCCGAGAGAAGACCTGCCCGCAGGGATTCCCCGGATTGCACACCAGTATAGTCACTGTGTTCTCATCACGAAGTTTTGCAACCTGCCCGAGATCCACCTCCCAGTTCTTCTCGGGCAGCAGGTCGTAAAATCTGGGCTCCAAGCCGGAGTGCATGCACATGCACTCGTAGACCGGGAATCCCGGGCGGGGCAGCAAAACATTTTTGCCCGGATTCGCGAGCGCGTCTAAGCACAGCTGAATGGAAGGGCCGCAGCCTCCAGTGATGTACACGTCAGCAGCTGAGCATGCAGGCGCGCACCCTGCTGACGTGGCAGGAGGGAGCGTTTCGAGCGCTGACGTGGAGCAAAATTCAGCCACCGCCCTGTGATGTTGGATAGGCGTGCATGGGAGCATAGGGTAGGGTGGGAAGGAATATGAGGAGAAGAGGTGCGTTGAAGGGGGGAATTTCTGCGGCACCTCTTGGTTCTTTACTTCACTTCAGCCTCCGACTTGTGAGGGTGGATGGGCGTGCATGGGAGCATGCGGGCATGGGGTTGGGTGGAGAAGAGGTGCGTTGGAAGGTTGAATGGGGAAAGGTTGAATGGGGAAAGGTTGAATGGGGAAAGGTTGAATGGGGAAAGGTTGAATGGGGAAAGGTTGAATGGGGAAAGGTTGAATGGGGAAAGGTTGAATGGGGAAAGGTTGAATGGGGAAAGGTTGAATGGGGAAAGGTTGAATGGGGAAAGGTTGAATGGGGAAAGGTTGAATGGGGAAAGGTTGAATGGGGAAAGGTTGAATGGGGAAAGGTTGAATGGGTAAAGGTTGAATGTGGAAAGGTTGAATGGGGAAAGGTTGAATGGGGAAAGGAGGGAGGGAAGAGGAGAGGGGGGAGGGAAAGGGGGATGGAGAAGAGAGGGAAGGTGTAGTGTCACTCAACTGTTTTTTTTTTTTTTTTTCCTCACTGAGTCACCAACGAAAAGGCCAAGGCCTCTCCATAGGAGAACCACTACACAACATGCTGTTTTCATTACTTTTCTCTCTGCACCTTATCCCACGGGTCTGATGTTTAGTCCAGAGAAACAACTGAAACCGGGATAACATCTTTTTGCAAGAACTGCCAAAATTTAACAACTCTCACATGCTACACGTCAGCATCATACCTCCGTGCGTCAGGCAGTCCGTTAGAAGGCGGGTACCCGTTATAGCGACCACTCGCTATAGCGTCTTGCACGGCGCGCACCGCAACATCCGGCAGCTTCAAATGCCCGAACGCCGTAGGATCCCCCTGACCCAACGAGATCAACGGTTTCGGAGGAGCGTCAGGAGCAGCAGACGTGACCTGCGCAGCAGATGCAGCCTGCGCAGAAGGCGCGGCGAGCACGGCGGCGAGAGAGTCGGTGATCTTGCGAATGGGGTTCTCGATGGACAGCGAGAGCCGCGACGCCTCCACGGCCCACGCCAGCGGAATTTCCGCGTCGTCCCAGAGGCTTTTCGCGTCACAAACGGCCGTGCTTTTCTCGTCCACCGGAGAAGCCATGGCGCCGGCGACGCGCTCCGCTGTCGCTGAACTCGAGCGCTCAACGGACACGGAAGAATCTGGTTTCCGTTGCGCTAGAGACGGAGCGTCTCGTGGCGCTTCGGAGCCTGGCTCGGTCTGTGGCTTCAAGTTTATCGGGTGGTGAGCGCAAGGTCTATCGGGATGGCTGTGGATGGCTTCTGCGGTGAACGCTGGCGCCATGCGAGTTGGCGACAGGAGGTTCTGTTTCCGGCTTTTAAATGTTCCGTCCAGACGTTCGGACGATGCTGCAGCCCGACGCGAAAAATATATTTCTCGAAACGAATCGGAAATCCCGAAGATTGTCCAGCGGTCGAAGCAAAACGTGGATAAGCGCCACTGTTATTGCTGGATTGCGCCAAACAGAACTAATACTAGGTTACTGCACCGCAAACGGGAGTCCGATACAGGCAGAGAGACGGGATGGTGCGACGAGGATGCAGCAGGGAGGAGAGGCAAGAAAGTCAGCGGAGGAGGGAAGCGACGCGCGGAAGCTGACATGCGGCTAGGCGTGAATGAGTCGCAGCATTGTGACCGTGCAGGACCTGTATCCCGTGTGGCCATCCATGGTCGGAGGAATGGTAGCGGAACGCGGGACAAGAAACCTGCGTGCGGGTTTGAGGAAGCTGCGGGGCCGGCCGAGTCAATGCAGAGCTTCGAGGGACTGCAGCTTTCCCCCTACCGCCGCCTATCCAAGTGTTTTGACTGGAATCTCGGGAATGCCGAACAGCTGCAGTCAAATCTCCTGTCACCTGGTTTCCTGGGTCTGGCTGGGGATTGGCTTGTCTGGTTTGCTTAGGTTTCGTTGACGAAGGGATGTGCGGTAAGGCGGGGCGGAGCGCACAGGAACTGAGGGCTGGTTGCGTTGTGGGGGAAGTTGGGGGGCTTGAAGGGAGCAGAGCACAGGGAAGTCGAATTGAGAGGGGTGTGGTGTAGGATGAAATGCTACTCAATCGTTTTGAATCGTATTTCGCCGTACTGAAACATTGTGTACGATTGTGTGCCCTCCGCTCGGACATAGGCGTGCGCTCAGGACGCGTTACAAATAACGCATCGGACGAGGATCGTTGAAGTACACCTAACATGGAGCATCGATCGCTTCCGTGCCACATTGGTAGCGTTCGCCCCCATGATCAGAATGACAGGTGATTTTGAGAGTTTTGGTTTGTGCGGTGGCAGATCAATACTGGGCAATCTTTCACCTTATGTGAAGCATCCTGCGTCTTCGCGATTTAACGAAACAGAGATACATGAAATGGCGAAGCTACTGTACATCCACACATCGATCCCTGTGAGGGTCGATGAATTCGTGACGCGTCCTCAGCTTGAGGGATCACATGACGTGGCGATTAACGGAATGATAGGCGGTTTAGGTGTGGAGATTTGCGGCGGGCGTCCTGTCGGAGACGAGACAATACTGCGGAAGTCACACGTCTCGCTGACGAGGAAGCCACGCTTACGATGCACGAAAGACGAGGCCGAGGTGCACGCCACGTCACCCAAAAGGTCGGACGAGAAGCATGACCTGGTCAAGCAGATACATATACTTTATAGCATCGCTCTCTTTGCATCATATAGTGGTGCAGTTACGACTGTGGATGTATGCATTGTATAGTGTACTGCCTCCCCCCCCCCAAAAAAATCATATAGTGGTGCATATTTTCCACTTAATCTGTATTTAGTTGGTGTAAGCCAGCCAAAGCGCGGGGTGTCAGGACTTCGCACCCCCAAAGTCTGCAAGTTGATCAGTCGCGGCTCCGCCAGGACATTCTCTTCGCGGGAGTGCGTGGGGTGGGGTGGGAGAAACTGGTGGAATGTGGAAGGCACAATTCAGATTGGGATCCAGCGAACGTCGTCACGGGTGTTTGAATTTCGACAGCAGTGGTTACCGGGCTTGCCCAATTCTGATGGAAACCGCGACCCGGATTCGCAGTGGCGAGGCGACCAAAGGTTTCCCGCCAAGTCCAGGCCACAGCCAACCTACAGTATAACAATCTGCCTTGGCAGATTGGCAGAGCTTGTAACTTGTTTCGGAAAGCACCCTGAACCCGATGTTGGCTTTACCAATGAACTCCCCGAAATTGAAGGCTATAAAAACTCAGTCAAGTGTCGAGGTTTTAATTAAACTCCCGCACTCATACCGAAGCGAATCGACCATAGATTTATTGCGACCCGTTTTTCGTCCCCTCTAACTCGTCTGAGACGTCTGAAACGTACCCTCTTTCAAACGAAAGCATTCGGAGCAACTCTTCAATATCGGGTAAATAAAAAACGATTACACAGGGGGTGAAATTGGCCATAGTGAAGTTGGCGCGGGCTAGGTGTACTATCAACTACAATCTGCAGTTCTAACCTTGTAGCTCCAACTTCCCTTCCATCCTGTTCGTCTGTCTGCAATTGTCTCTCCCGAAAGCCAAAAATACTTGATCGCTGAGATTCTGGGATCAACTGGCTCCTCGAGCGTGCTCATTAGTGACCTAATGTGTGCCGCGAGTCGCCCCGAAGGCTACAGAATGCTGGTACTTATTCCTGTTGCTCCCAAGAGGCCCCTATAGGAACCACGCAAGGACAAAGCCTCCTTAGTGAGCTACTTTCTCATTTCGCGATCATTCACAGGCTGGTTTCGGGCAGAGAACGATTTCTCCTGAATGGGACCTAGCCTGGAATCGAATAAGCCCCTTAGGCCCTCACGATCACTACTTAGTAGACAGCCAAGCAGACTCGCGACATTCATCTCGCGACACGCAGTAATAGCATACGACAAGCTCGGCGACCCATTGCTCTACAGTCCGACCGCCGTCGGCGACTGCAAAGGCCGTAATGTAGACCACGTTGACCTCGTTGACCGCATTGACTTGGCAGATCTCCTGCCTCCGTCAAAAAAAGACCCTAGCAGCACCAATAGCAGGTCAGTCTTTAGAGGATCATGCAGACTATGGAACTACGCCACAGCGTGTCTCCTGCTAGTAGCTCTCATGAATCAATACTTCAGGGTAGCGCATCACCCGCTAATCAAGCAACACGATTTACTTTCGGGCATTAGGGTTGAAACGACACCAAGCGCTAGTGACCAATCTTCGTCCGAGTCGCTTCCGGGTGCAAATCTTGTGACGCGACGCGATGTACTATCCGACATTAGAATCGAAACCATGGCTGCCGACCACGCTGTCGACAGGACAATAGAGCGCGGTCTGACGTTCCTCCAGCTCTGGGCTCAAGCTAACGGCGTCAAGCTGTCGCGAGTAGCGACTGTTAACGTTGACGGAAACTTGTCGCGAATCGCAACGGTCAACGTTGACGGAGACGGACACTCGTCGCTTCCCGCAACGACCACGTTCTTTAGTGTTCCGTTCACAATACCGAGTCCAAACATAACGTGGAAGGATATCTATCCGGAATGGATAGACGAATCACGGAGCTCCTCCTGTCCGGAAATTCCGGAACCAGACTGGTTCGCAGACGACTTTGATCAAGCAGGCGCGGCGGGAGACGGCCAAAGTCCCGTTGGCGAAGTCAGTAGTAGTGCAGCGGAGCACTCCCAGAGTTCCCCGTTAGTGGCACGCTCGTTCGACGGCGTGGTGGCGTCGCTGCCGTGCGAGTCGCAACCGGCGGATTCGTGGGCGAGAGACGTGCGGTGGCACCACCTCATGCTGACGGTTGGCCGGCTGGTTACCAAGGTGAGAGTGCAATCATTCACATAACTCTTCATGACAATCAAAAGCGTCCCATCCTTCTCATAACACTTCCCATCAGACGTTTTTGAGCTGACGACGTTGATAATGAATATGTGATCTACCCTTTCTTCCCTTACCACCCTTTCCCACCTTTCTCCACACCCTCCCGCCCGCTCCCGCCCTCTCCCACCCCTCACACTCTTCCCTCCATCCTCTGTCCTCACTCGCGCCGCCTTCCAGTCCACGTCAGCAATGATGCCGGTGCTAATGTTCACCGAGTGCCGCCCGCCGCCGAACCTCTTCCGCTGCCGCGATCTGATGATGCACGAAGGGCCAATCTGGCTCTACCACCTGGCACCTGCCGCCATGCGGGAGCGTCTGCAGCCAATCGGATCGTGCCAGATGGCGCACCCGACGACCTTGGCGGAAGGGGTAACACAGAAAGGGCGGGTCGCAGCGCGGAGAATAGGAGAAGCGCGCGAAGAAGAAGTGGTGGAGGGGCGGCGGGAAGCGCGAGGTTCGGCGCGGCAAATACTGGAATCGCGGACACCCCAAGGGACGACGCGAGCGGCAGCGCAATTAGCGGCTCCGCGGGGAGCGCCGCGAGTGGCCTATGCGTCGGTTCTGCACACGACGGAGGACTACGTTTGCGGCGCGATCGTACTGGCTAGGAGCCTGAAGAAGAGCGGGACGAAGGCGGACCTGGTGCTGCTGGTGTCGCGGGAAATCAGCCGCAAGAGCCGCAGGGGGCTGAAGAAGGCGGGGTGGCGGCTCAAGGAAATCGAGCGGATCCGCAACCCGCACGCTGTACCCCAGACGTACAACGAGTGGAACTACAGGTGCGTATGGGGGAGGGGGGGAAAAATGAGGGGGAAAGGAGGGGGAAGGGCGGGAGGGCATGGCGATAGAGAATCCGCAATCCTCGCGCCGTGGCCAAGACGTACAACGAGTGGAACTACAGGTGCGTGCGGTGAGAGGGGGGGTGGGGGGTGGGGGGTGGGGAGAAAAAGGGGGGGAAAAGGGGGGGAAAAGGGGGGGAAAAGGGGGGGAAAAGGGGGGGAAAAGGGGGGGAAAAGGGGGGGAAAAAAGGGGGGGGTTAAGGGTGGAGGGCAAGGCTTACAGGTGCATTAAGGGGCGGGGCGGCAAGAGCGCGTTCGCTACCCGCACGCCGTGGCCGAGACTTCGTGCAACGAGTGGACAGACGTGCGCGGAGGAGGGGGCAAGGGGAGAAGAGTCTGACAAGGTCATTTTTGGTTGTCGTTCGCTGTCATTGCAACAGCTACTTACACCTCCTTCTCACCTCCCACACCTCATCTCCATCCCCGTCCTCCCCTCCCTCCCCTCCCACCAGCAAGCTGCGTCTGTGGCAACTCGAGGAGTACGACAAGGTCATCTTCGTTGATTCCGACATCCTCGTTTTAAAGAACCTCGATTTCCTCTTCAGCTACCCCGAGCTCTCAGCCCGCGGCAACGCACGCCACCTCTTCAATTCCGGAGTAATGGTTCTAGAACCCTCCAACTGCACCTTTAATCTCTTCATGGCCCTCGTCACCACCCTCACCTCCTGCAACGGCGGCGACCAAGGCTTCCTGAACAATGTTTTCGCGTGGTGGCACCGGCTGCCCGAGTCGGTCAGCATGCTGAAATATTCCTGGAACGGGGACGACGGCGCGGGTGGGACGGCGCAGCGGGCGGCGAAGCGGGCGGCGCAGCAGGCGGCTCAGCGGGCGATGCTGGATTTAGTGTTTTCAGCTGACCCACCGCGGGTGCATGCGATTCACTACCTGGGGCGGAAGCCGTGGCAGTGCTACCGCGACTTTGACTGCACGTGGCTGTACCCGTGGGACCACCAGTACGTGAGCGACGCTGCCCATGCCCGCTGGTGGGCAATGCATGACCAAATGCGGCCATCCCTGCAGGAATACTGCTGGCTGCCCAACAGGTGCGTCCCTGGGCTCCCCACTCTGTGTAGATGGGTGAAAATGGGCGTAGAGATGGGTGTAAATGGGTGTAGAGATGGGTGTAAATGGGCGTAGAGATGGGTGAAAATGGGCGTAGAGATGGGTGTAAATGGGTGGGAATGCAGGTGAGCCGGTGCGGGTGCATGCGATTCACTACCTGGGGCGGAAGCCGTGGCAGTGCTACCGCGACTTTGACTGCACGTGGCTGTACCCGTGGGACCACCAGTACGTGAGCAACGCTGCCCGTGCCCGCTGGTGGGCACAGCACGACCTCATGCGCCCCTCCCTGCAAGAATAATGCTGCCTGCCCAACAGGTGCGTGCTGTATTTGGGCGCGTGTGGATGGGTGAAAATGGTGCAGGTGGGTGGGTGGACATGGGTGGGCGCTGGTGGGCACAGCACGACCTCATGCGCCCCTCCCTGCAGGAATACTTCTGGCTGCCCAACAGGTGGGTCGGGGGAACTGCTGTTTGTGGATGGGTGAATTTGGGTGCAGGTGGATGTAAATGGGTGGCGCTGGTGGGCAATGCACGACCTCCTGTGCGCCTCCTTGCAGGAATACTGGTGGGTGCTTGCCTGGTGGGTGCTTGCTTGCGTGTGGAAGGTTGAACATAGGTGTGGATGGGAGGAGATGGATGGGTGCTGGTGGTCACAGCATGACCTCATGCGCACCTCCCTGCAGGAATATTGCTGCTTGCCCAACAGGTGCGTCCTGTACATGGACGCGTGGGGATGGGCGAAAATGGTGTAGGTGGATGGACATGGGTGGGTGCTGGTGGTCACAGCATGACCTCATGCGCCCCTCCCTGCAGGAATACTGCTGCTTGCCCAACAGGTGGGCGATTGCCTGCGTGTACATGGGAGAAAATGGGTGTGGATGGGTGGAGATGGGTGGGTGCTGGTGGGCAATGCATGACCTCATGAGCCCCTCCCTGCAGGAGTACTGCTACCTGCCCAACTGGTGAGTTGATGTTCTGCCATCTGCTGCAAAAAGGCAAAAGGCAAAAACGCTCTTTCCCTCTTTTCTCCCATCCCCTGTCCCCTCAACCATCGAGAGGAAGGCAGAGATGGATTGCCGCAGGCGAGTGCTCAAGAAGGAGAAGCCGAAGTCTCTCACAAATGCCCTTCTTTCCTTCCCCCTTCTTGTCGTCCATCAGGTGGAAGGCGGAGACGGAGTATCGCAGGCGAGTGCTGAAGAAAGAGAATTAATTCCATCTCCCATCCCTCCTCTGGCAATCATCAGGTGGAAGGTGGAGACGGAGTATCGCAGGCGAGTGCTCAAAAAAGATAATTAAACCCGCCTTCCATCCCTCCTCTGGCAATCATCAGGTGGAAGGTGGAGACGGAGTATCGCAGGCGAGTGCTCAAAAAAGATAATTAAACCCGTCTCCCATCCCTCCTCTGGCAATCATCAGGTGGAAGGCGGAGATGGAGTATCGCAGACGAGTGCTGAAGAAAGAGAAGGCTCCTAAAGCGTTTTGGAACTTCAACATCACAGACCCGAGGAGGGACCTGTGTGTGAAGGGGCAGACCACGTGCAACTGGCGGGGATACCTGAGACACTGGAATAAATGATTGCAGGATGGAACTGGAAATCTCCCTACTGGTCCCAACCCAATTCTCCCGTTCCCCTGCTCCGCTCTGAAGGGTTGCCAGAAGGCTGGGATGGGATGGGACTTGCTAGGTAGCGGTATGTCAGGTTTGACTGGCAGAACCGTACCCAGGTGGCAGTTGGGGTAGGTAGGCAGGCGCTCTGCTACTATGTATACAGTGCATTGTGCTACTAGCACCTTTTGTAAATCCAGCCTGAAAAGAAAGGGTGGTAGCAAATCCACTTGTATTGAGTGTTATAGATTCAGGTGAAGTTGCACAATGCATGCCCGGACAAGAGAGAGCTTTCTCAACAGGTAAGGCAAAGCACTAGCACTGGCCTACACCAGGTTATCAAGGCACTCTAAACCCTAAACTGCAAACAACATACAGCAATACCGTATTATTTTCCTTATACTGCCACTGCATCCACTTCAACCATTCAATGCAAAGAGCAACCCCCTGTCGGCGATACGGTACGTTGTTTTTAGGAGAAGTAGCAAGACTGGTCAGGTCACTGACTCATTGGTCCTAGAGCATTTGTCCTTCAGCTGCCAAGTACCAGTATTGTGTCAAAGCACACAAGGGGGTTGCACTACATAAACCAGTATCTTTATTATACCAGCTACTATTATATAGTCCGGTTATAGTCCGGACTGGAAGGGCCTGCAATTATGTCCTGTTCACTTCACCCCTTGATGGGGCAGGCAGTTGGTGCAGTGCAGGCCAGCATCGAACCTACTTACCTCCCCGAACCTACTGACCTCCCAAACATATTGAACTCACCGAGCCGACTGACCTCACCAAACCTACTGACATCACCGAACATACTGACCACGCTGCAGCTACTCTAGTTAGTGGCAGCAAACCATGAGATAATTCCTGGAAGCGGCCCGCCGAGGTTGTAAGTTGTAACAACACATCATGCTGCTTAGCTTAGGAATTACGGCTCTGGCTCAACCAACCGTATCGCAACTTCCGAGCTCAACAACCAATCAGTGACAATCTGACTGCCTCGGGAGTATCCCTTGCCACAGCACCTACTGAGTCCTGACCTTGCCACAGCTGCTCTGTTCGGCTCAAACACTGCCTTGGGATTACCACTTGCCAAAAGCTTGCGGAAGCTGCTCTACTGCCTCGGGAATCGGGATTACCGCTGCAGCTGCAGCTACACGAGCTCGCTGCTGCTGCAGCTGCCCAACTCGATGCACCTGCAGCTGCAGCTGCTCTACCAAACTCGCAGCTCATCTACTGTGAGTAGCTTGTCTTTTACCCAGCGGGCCTGACGGTGGGGAGGCGTCCTGCGGACGTTTCTGCAAGTGGTTCTTGACGGGGGCGGCAGCGGGGGCGGGGCGAGGGGAAGAGAAGGAGAACTGGCGCGACGTGATGCCCTGCATGCGGTACTTGGGGTGGTCTGCTAGGAACCTGCAGGTGGAGAGGGGTGGAAAGGGGTGGAGAGGGGCGAAGAGGGTTGAGGAGGGGTGGAGGCGGATATAGAGGGATGAAGAGGGGTGAAGTAAGTGGGAGAAGGTGGAGCTAGATGCGAGGGGAAGATGAATGCCATTCAGGTAGACTCAAACATCCGCAAATTCTACTGCTCGTGCGGCCTTTTGAGTAGATCAAAAGACAGCTTTTGAGGCGGCCCAAGAGAGGTCAGGTGTGTTTTAGTGTGGGTTGAGAAAACGTAAGCGGATGGTGAGGGCAATGGCTTAAGCACATGAGAGAGAGAGAGAGAGAGAGAGAGAGAGAGAGAGAGAGAGAGAGAGAGAGAGAGAGAGAGAGAGAGAGAGCAAGGAGGGGAGGGGGAGATGGAGGAGATCAAGAAGTGCCTTTTGATGCGCCCCAGAGGTAAGGGAGGATGGCGGAGATTGATGGGCGTGAGTGCGAATCATAAGCCGTGTTTTGAGTGCCTTTTGATGCGCCTCAGAGGTAGGGGAGGATGGTGAAGACTGATGAGCGCGAGTGCGAATCATAAGAAGTTTGTCACAACGAAAGAGGAGGCGAATGCATTGCTAGCATGGCTTTTGATGGATTGTGAAAATGCAATGTGCTAAAATCGGTCCAGATGAAGCAGTTACGTCTCTGGCCCATCATGCTCACCGTTCTACGTCATTGACTGATCTCAACGACTTGCCACAGGGCGAATGGTAGTACCTGGTATCAAAAAGAAAAAGGGAAAAGAAAAAACGCAGAAAACGAGGGAGAGACAGGAGAGAGTCAAGCGGCCAGAGAGGCAAGCGCCCATCACTTAACGTTCCGGCCAGCAAGGACAAAAGCAGACGAGACAAGAATAAGCAGAACAAAGACAAGATAAGCAATGGGAAGAGGGGAAAGGAGGGAGGGACATAAGACCTACTTACCAGAAGCATTAGAGTAAGCGAGAATTTGAAACGTTTCCAAGTCCGCGCGCCCCGCGCAGCATTTTGCAAAAATATGAGAAGCACAATGCAGCCAGGTCACAAGGCTACACCCTAGACGCTTTTTAAGTTTTTTTTTTTTTTTTTTTTTGTTCTTTTCCCTCCTAATAGGGTGTGAAACCTAGGAAACCGCCAAAACTTACACGTCCGAAAACTTCGCGGAAGACCCTCCGCGGACCACGATGCGCCGCCGCCACCCGGGGGGCGGCTGCGGAATATCTGGGCGGTCGAGCGCCCACATGTACGTGCCGTCCTGCACCAAATCCGGCTCGTCCGCGCACGAGCACGACGGCTTCCATCTCCGCGCGTGCGCGCACGTGAACGGCTCGATCGACACGCGCGCGCGGATGCTCTCGTACTCGTCGAGCGTCGGCACCTTGCGCCACTTGTAGCAGAGCGCGCATTGCACGGTGAACGCGACTAGGGTTGCCGTCGCGCGCTTGTTGGAATCCGGCGGGGTGGCTGCAGCGGCGGCGGCGGCGGCAGCGGCGCGCGGCTTGTTCGCGTCTGGTGGAGTCGCTGGTACGGCTGGTGCCTCGTCGGCGGCGGCGCCTGCTGCGGCGGTGGTCGATTTTGCGGCTGGAGTGGCGAGTGACGTTTCGCACGATCCTGTGGTCGCCATTTTGAGATAGAAGCAATCTTGGCTGTTAAAAATAACAGAAAAAGCCTCCTTGTGAAACGGCTGTTTATCGACTCTCAAGTCCCTGGTTGAGAATAAAACGTGTATTTGGCAGGCGAAGACTACAAGTGGTAATCACAGCGTTACTGGGGCCGCGATGTGCCGTGCTAACGAAAACTCGAAGCTAAACGTGGCGACGCTAAATACAAATACAACGGCTGGCGCGGCCCTCGCGCAAATACACGATATAGTCTCTCCTACAAAATAGTTCCTATAAATCAAGTCAGGGAATGCGCACCGCACCCCTACTTCACATCAGGGAATGCTTGGCGAGGAGCGTACCTACAAGTTTGAGCAAACCAGCAAAGAAGGGAAAGAAAAGATGCTTGGGGGACGTAACCTAGACTATCAGGGCGACCTCGGGTTATACAACTTTTTGTCCGCACCCTGTGGTGAACTTCGTTATGTCACGGTGCCAAAACGTTTAATCTCGGAGGCCTCTCTGCACCGTGTAAAACCGTTATGAGCCACGATACCAGAGCTGTAAATGGGTGAGAAGTGTGCAACCCGACAGGAACCTGGCGTAGTACAGGAACTCATTTGAAGGAGTTCCAAACCTCCGCAGATGAAACGAGTCATCAAACCCTTTCCCGTAAAACGCGCCCCAACCTATTTTATTTTGCTTAGGGTTCCTATAACGCGGTTCAATAAGGTAAACCATGCATGGTAACTTATTGAACGTGCAAAATAGCATTTAGAATTTAATGGTAACTAATCTAACACACAGCTGCTGGTGATCAAGAGTCATGCATGCATAAATATGAGCTACCCACCCTAAATTTCAGAGTGGGAGAATGGAGTCGGGGTTTGGCGTGCCTTACGGCTGGTAGCATCGCTCAGCCCTCTCAGCACATGGTGGACGCGCTACGAGCGAAACACCCATCGTGCGAGTCCGCCATTCCTGGGTGGGTGCAGGAGGAGACAGTCGAGCCTTCCCTTATCCCACAGCTTTCAGTGGAGGTACTCGGCCAGGCGATCCACTCAGCGGCTAGGGCGTCCGCACCAGGACCGTCGGGGTGGGTGACGGAGCACCTGCGCGACACTTTTCTCTCTGAGCCCGCGTATCTGTCCCACCTGCTAGAGGTCTTCACCCAGTGGACCAAGGGAGAGGTAGCGGAGCGCGTGCGACCCTGGCTCACTGCGTCCAACTTGGTGGGCCTGTCGAAGCCGAATGGTGACGTTCGCCCGGTGGCTATAGGCGAGGTGCTCCCCCGCATACTATCTCGGGCCATATGCATCGTGCTTCGCCCGAAGATGATGTCGCACTTTGCTCCGTGTAACCAGTTTGGAGTCGGGTCCAGGTCGGGAGTGGAAGTCCTCGCACATGCCTTTCGCTCCGCCATCTCTACTCACCCGTCGTGGTGTGCGCTGCAAATTGACGTGGCGAACGCTTTCAACTCCTTCCATCGGCGGGAAATGTTTGAGGGTCTTCGACAGTCGCCTTTCAAGGGATTGATTCCATTTCTGCGTGTCTTCTACGGCACTCCTAGCGACCTCTATCTCCGAGCGGGCCCTTTTGTCGAAGCTTTGGCTTCCGAGCGGGGCTCGAGGCAAGGGGATCCATTGGGTCCGTTTCTGTTCGCGTTCACACAGCAGCTGGTTATGGAACCAACCAAAACGGAGTACGCCGACTTACTCTTCCTCAGCTATGCTGACGATACGTATATCCTGGGGCCTAGGGAACGGGTTCTAGCAGCCTATGAGGCCTTGCGGGAACGACTGGACGGGCTGGGTTTGGAGGTGCAGCCGCATAAGTGTAAGCTATGGGAGCGAGGGAGGGACCAGGATGGGGAGGAGAGAAATGAGACTGTCCCGCCCGGCATGCAGCAGACATGGACGGGGCTCACTGTGGTAGGGGTGCCCATTGGGGAGGAGGACTGGGAGGTGGCTAGCCTGCGTCGCCGGCTGACGGAGCTGCATGCACCTGTCCCCTGGCTTCCTCTGCTTGACCACCCACAGATTGCGTCCCATTTGTTGGCGATCGCAGTGTCGGCGCGCCCGATCTACCTCACACGGACGATGCCTCCACGACCTGAGGTTGTGGAGGCTTTTCGGGACTGGGACACGAAGCTGGAAGATTGTTTCGAGGAGCTGTTTCCAGATAGTACCTGGGATCACGATTCGGGGAAGTCTCAGATGGCTCGTTTACAGCTGCACCTTCCTGCCAGACTCGGGGGGTTCGGCATTCGATCTGCGGCTGACCTTAGTCCTCTGTCGTATGCATGTGGCTGGTGCCAAGCAGTGAGCGATGTGGCTCGGTTGGGGGTGGCAGGTGAGGAGCGGATGTTTGAGGAGTTTTTCCGCACGCCCGAGGCTACGACCTTGTTGGACCCCTGGTTTGCGAGAGCAGTGGATCTGCTTCCACAGTCGGTTCGGCAGGAGATGCCACCCCTTGCCTTGTGCACCGCTGATCCGCCTATGCTGCTCTTCCCCACACAACACCGTCGCCTGGCGGTTGAGAGCCTCCAATCTCTTCGAGGCATGGCCCACAACGATGCCACCCTGGCCCGTTTGACATCCCTTCAGGGCCCGGGGGCTGGGGCGTGGGTTTCTGCCGTTCCTTCGCACGAGGAGGCTACCTTCACCGCAGCCGAGTGGAGCATCTGCGCGTCCATGCGCCTAGGCCTCCCTATTCAGCAGCTGATAGTGGCCGGCAAGTGCGCGTGTGGGTTTGAGTTTGCTGATCCCTCTGACCCGCATCATGCCCTTCGCTGCAAGTATCAGTATGCACCTTCTCGGGTTCACGATGCGGTTAAATTTGTGGTGGCGAAGATAGCTAAGGGTGCGGGTGGGATTGTGACCATGGAAGACGACACGTTGCTCCCAGGGAAGAGGGTTGATGTGGCGGTTCGGAAACTGAGGGAGGGGGAGGAGCACGCGCTGGAGGTTAGTGTGGTAGATCCTATCTCGCTATCCGCGCAGCACCATGGACAGATTGGTCGCAAGGTGGGTTTTGCCGCGAGAGAGAGAGAAAAGCGGAAGACGGCGGACTACAAATCGCTTCTACAGCGGCATGGGGGAGTGCAGTTCACACCACTCATTGCTGAGACATGGGGATGCTTGGGGGGGAGTTTTGGACGGTGGCTTAAGAAGCAGGGTGACGCGCAGATCGAGATAGCAAAGACGAAAGGGGCGGCGCGAGCTACGGGAAAGGGTTTCTCGGCTTATTTGCTCGGATCGCTCAAAGCGGCTGTGGGTGTGGCTTTGCAACGGGCTCAGGCGCGTGTGATCTTGTTACGCGCTGCGTCGATGATGAGAGGCCCAGAGGCTGTTTGGGTGGAGCGGGAGGATGTTGAGGAGGAGATGGGATGGGATGCTCCGTGGGCGGATGCACCATACTTGGTAGACATGCGGGTTTAGGGAGTGGGTTTAGGGGGGGAGGTTTGGTTCGATGGGAGTGCAGTTGGGGTGCTTTGATGGGAGGGCTTGATGGTGTTTTAAATGTGTGTGCTATTGGGGTTTTCTTGGGGTTGTGTGTGCTACTTTTTCTTCCTTCTTCCCTGTTTTTCTTCCTCCTATCATTTTTCCCCTATTCCCCTCCTTCTTTCTTCCTCTCTCCTTTTTTCTACTCACGTTATTCCTCCTTTTCTCCTCTCTTCCCGTTTCCACTCCTTTTCCTTGCGTAATTATGCTACATTGTAACAGATAGTACCTGAATTAACTTTGAGAAATGGCTACGCTCTAAATTTCAGAATACAATGCCAGCATCTGTTTGCTAGACCCCTTCAACAGGTAGCCCATTTTCTGAAACGCAAAAATCAATTACGGTAGTCACTGGTTGCAGGCTGTGTCACAGAAAACAAGGGAAGAGACAGAATCCAGTTCTCACATTACTAGGACTAGAAAAGTATCCAAACAAACAGAACATAGAGGAATCATGGCACTGAATCCAATCACAGGTTGTGCATGAGGTCAAAGCACCCACTCCCAACAACCACCACCCTCCCAACCCAAGCGCAATCCTCCAAGATGGAGACTTCATCTGATCCATCTGCCCCTTGGACGCACCCAAAAAATAAAGCTGAAACACAATGACACTACCGCCAATTACAGGTTGTGCATGAGGTCAAAGCACCCACTTCCAACATCCACCACCCTCCCCAGCGCAATCCTCGAAGACGGAGACTCCATCCGATCAGTCTGCCCCTTCGACGCCGCATTTATCAAAAACTTGGTCGCCGTCTCAAAACTCATCTTCAAAATCGGCGACGGGTTCGCATCAATCCCGTTACGGTTACACGCACGGTAACCGCCATCATACGTCATAAAATCCGCAATCAGACCCAAATGCCTGGGATCCACCGCGATCCCGTACATCCCGAACACGCCCCGGACCTCCTTCACGATCGTCGCGCGCGCCGCCTCCACTCCAAGCGTCGTCAGAACCGCCGCGATGTGATTCGTCGTGAGGCGATTCAAATCGAGCACCCCTTCGTCGTCGTGCTTCCCCATGGTTGATACGGCGAGGTTCCAGAGGCCGGGGAAGTTGAGTCCCTCGACTTGAATGCGGGGCGGCTGGCCTGGAGATGCTGGTTCGAGAGCAGCACAGCGCTGCACTCCCGGTGTGGCCCGCACCACCACTGCTGCTGCCACCTTGTCTACAATCTGGACAGCGAGTGGGTGATGGGTTGGGGGTTGGGAGAAAGGAGAAGTTCGTCAGGAACACAGGTCCACCTCACTACAAGCACAATCTGGCCTCGTTATAAGCACACTCTCTCACCTCATGGATGAGAACAGCGGGTGACGTCACTGGCACCGACAGCTCCATCTGCATCCACCCTATTTGAGGCGCCTCACAAGGCGCCATTTGAGCACAATTTTCACCTTGTTATAGGCACACTCTCTAAGCACACTCTCTCACCTCATGGATGAGCACAGCGGGTGACGTCACCGGCACCGACAGCTCCATCTGCATCCACACTTCTTGAGGCGCCTCAAAAGACACCTTTTGAGCACAATCTAAGCTCGTCGTAAGCACAACAACTCACCTCATGGATGAGAACAGCGGGTGACGTCACCGGCACCGACACCTCCATCTGCATCCACGTGTCGCCACCTGTCACCGTCGCCACTGCCACCTGCTTTTCCTTCCTCTTTTTCTTCTTCTGCCCCCCTTGTTCCGCCCCTTTCTCCCCTTTCTTCTTGGTCTTCTTTGCCTTGCTATCCTCCTTCTTCCCCCTCTTCCCTCCTGCTGATTCTGCAGCATCTGCTTTACCTTCTCCCACCTCCTCCTCCTTCTCCTCTGCTTCCTCCTCTTCCCCCTCCTCTTCTTCCTCCTGTTCTTCCTCCTCTTCTTCTGCCTTTACCTTCACTTCACCAGCACTATCTGGCCCTCTCTTAGCAGAGCCCTTACCCTCCCCCTCTGCTTGCTCCACCCCCTCCTCTCCCTCTGCCGTCCTCTTCCTCCTCTTCCTCCTCTTCCTCCTCATCCTCTTCCTCTTCTTCCTCCTCTTCTTCCTCCTCATACTCCTGTTCATCATCCCCCTGCCCCCGCTCCTTCTCAGCATCCTTCCCATCCTCCTCCCCTCCCTCCTCCTCTTCCTCCTCTTCCTCCGCCTCCCCATCCACCAACCCTCCCTTCTTCCCTCCCTTCTTCCCTCCTTTCCTCTTCCCCTCCACCTCCTCTTCCCCCTCCCCTTCCTCCCCCTCTCCCTCACCCCCTTCTTTCTCCCCACGGCCCTCAGCCATCACCACCACACCCCCACCCCCTGCCCGATCCAAAGCCCTCTCCAGAGCTTTCCCGACCCTGGGAACAAACTCGTAACTGAACGCAGCCTTGATTTCTTCAAACTTAAGGTCAAGGTCGGCAGGGTAGCGGCTGGTGGGGTGGAAGGCCAGGCGGATGGAGTAGCGCCTCGAGTTGCGATCTCCACCGTTGATCTGTACCAGATTTGTGCGCTCAGAGACATGGATGGCTGAGATCAGCTCGGCCATTGTGATCCGACGGAGCTTGTTGGCTATGCGCTGAGCGTCCTCACTGGAAGGAGGTGGAGGGTGGTGGAGGGTGGTGGAAGGGGGTGGAAGGGGTTGGAAGGCGTGGAAGGGGTTTAAAGGGGTTGGAAGGGGTTGGAAGTTGGTGCAAGGGGGTGGAAGGAAACAGGCCGATGTTGCCGGACTCACACATAGACTCACAATCGAAGGGAGTACTCTAGAGTCACTTAGGCCCCGTGGCTACGAAGCAACAGGCAGGCACACAGGGAGTACTCGAGAGCCTTTGCGGTGCCTCACAGGGTGCCTTATGGGGGGAAGGACTCACACATACACGACCCACACGACAACTCACAGGGTACGGCCGGGCAGCAGAGGAGAGGGCAGTCCATGACAGGGGTGGAGATGTTGCGAGGGGCATGTATACGCTATAGCTTCACAGGCAGACTTGGAGATAGACCCGCAGCAAAGGACTCACAGGGTGTGGCCGGGCAGGCAGCAGAGGAGAGGGCAGTCCATGACAGGCGAGGAGATGTTGCGAGGGGCATAGATGGCCGCACACGTAGACTCATCACACATAGACTCACAGGCAGACTGGACTCGCACATAGACTGACAAAGAACCCACGAAGGACTCACAGTGTGCGGCCGGGCAGCAGAGGGCAGCCCATGACAGGCGTGGAGATGTTGCGAGCAGCGCAGGTGGCGGCACACATAGACTCACAGAAAGACTCGCAAAGAACCCACTCACAACAAACAAGATAACTCACAGCGTGCAGCCGGGCAGCAGAGGGCAGTCCATGACAGGGGTGAAGATGTTGCGAGGGGCACATACAACCTCACAGGCAGACTCGCAGATAGTCCCACACAGCACTCACAGCGTGCGGCCGGGCAGCAGAGGGCAGTCCATGACAGGCGTGGAGATGTTGCGAGCAGCGGTCATGAGGATTTCACGCAGCCGCGGAATGCCCAGAGTCACGTTCGCCTCTCCTCGCCCTGCGAAGTGAAACGTGTTCAGCCTGGGGTGGAGGTGGGAAGGGTGAGAGGAGGAAAAGGGTGATAATACAAGGCAAAGAGGAGGAGAGATTGCAAGGTGCGCCACATGCAAGGCAACCAACCACCTCATCCCAAGAGTCATGTTCACCTCTCCTCGCCCTGCCAAGTGCAACGTGTTGAGCCTGTGGTGGAAGGAGGAGGGGTGTGTGGAATGGGAAATGGGTGAAATAAGGAGCAATTCCCGAGGGGAGCCACAGGTAACGAATCAACCCCAATTAACCCCTCGCCCTGCCAAGTGGAACGTGTTGAGCCTGGGGTGGAGAGGGAAAGGGTCGGGTCAGAGGAGGAAAAGGAAAAGGGTGATACATGGGATGGGAGGAGAGAGATTGCAAGGTGAGGCACATGCAAGGCAAGGCAAGGCAAGGCAAGCAACCACATCATATCAAGAGTCACATTCGCGTCTCCTCGCCAGCACCTTCACAGAGTCTACAAAACAGCATGCAACCTTCCTCTCACTCACACCAACCCTGCACTCACATCAACCCTGCACTCACACCAACCCTGCACTCACACCAACCCTGCACTCACACCAACCCTGCACTCACACCAACCCTGCACTCACGTCATCTGTGTGGAGGGCTCCCCAACTGACTGAGCTGCCAGCACCCCCACAGAGTTCACAGAACAACACGCCTCCCACTGAGTTGCTGTCATCTCCCACTCACACCAACCCTGCACTCACGCATCTTGCCACTCACGTCATCTGTGTGGAGGGCTCCCCGACTGACTGAGCCGCCAGCACCCCCACCGGCTCCCCTGGCTGCACAGTAGACGCCAGGTACTTCATCTCCAGCACCTCTCTCAACCGCTCTGCATCCTTCTTCTTCCCCTTCTTCCCGGTTCCCTTGGCACCCTTCCCCAGCACCGCCGACTGCAGAAACTTCTCGGAGGCAGCTTCAAAGGCGGGGGAAACGACTCCGAGCTTCGACCCTGGGCACTCCACATCCATCAGCTCTGCTGCCTCTGTTGCTGCTGCCTCTGTTGCTGTTTCTGCTTGCTCTGCAGTGGCATGAGGACTCATTGCCTCAAGGCCGAGAGCCTTCGCTTCGTCCAAGCGGAGGGCCGATGCCACCTGCTGCTCATTCTGTTGATTGGGGGGTTCAGGGTTTGGGTTCCATACAGGGATTCAGGGTTTCACACAGGAGAGAAGAGGGAGGGAGGGAGGGAGGGAGCAGCTTCAAAGGCAGGAGAAACGACTCCGAGCTTCGACCCTGGGCACTCCACATCCATCACCTCTGCTGCCTCTGTTGCTGTTTCTGCTTGGTCCGAAGTGGCACGGGAAGGCATTGCCTCAAGGCCGCGAGCCTTGGCCTCGTCCAAGCGGAGGGCTGGTGCCACCTGCTGCTCATTCTGTTGATGCAAAGGTAGAGTTTCAGGGATTTAGGGTTTCAGACAGGAAAGAAAGGGAGGGAGGAAGGGAATGAGTGAGAGAATGAGCATGGGTTTAAGGTGTGCCTGTGGCCGCCGCAGGTTATGAGCTCATACCAGCCCAGAACACAGCTCACAGCTCACACACTTGATAGATTATAGGCACACAGCACAGCACAGCACAGCACCGCACAGCACAGCACAGCACCGCACAGCACAGCACAGCACAGCACCGCACAGCACAGCACCGCACAGCACAGCACAGCACAGCACGGCACGGCACGGCACGGCATGGCGCAGCGCAGCACAGCACAGCACAGCGCAGCAAAAGACAAAAGAAACGAAAACACCTCTTTAATGAACTCGATGTTGGTGGGAAAGACGTCCGGCTGGTGTGAAGTCGATGGCGACCTCGCAGTACCGGAACTGCACGAAGGACACAGCATCGCTGTCCCAATTGGTAGCTGGCCCAATCGGTAGCTGTCCCAATTGATAGCTGTCCCAATTGGTAGCTGTGCCACTACCAGAACCCAGAGCATATCACACAAAACACAGCACACCAGCATACCTCTTTAATGAACTCCAAGTTAGTGAGGAACAACGTCCTACTGGTGTCAATGCCATCCTTCCCATACCGGAACTGCATGACGGACGCATCGCTGTCCCGCTACTAGAACCCACAACTGATACATGAGGTGCCCCACTACCGAAACACAGAATACACCACCATACCTCTTTAATGAACTCCAAGTTGGTGAGGAAGGAGGTCCTGCTGGTGTCAATTGCATCTTCTCCATACCGGAACTGCACAATCGACACCCATCGCTGCCCCTCCGCACACCACACCACACCTCAGCATACCTCTTTAATGAACTCGAAGTTGGTGAGGAAGGAGGTCCTGCTGGTGTCGATGGCATCTTCTCCATACCGGAACTGCACAATCGATGCATCGCTGTCCCGCACGCTGTAGTCGTAGTGCACCCGCAGCCCCTCCAGGTTCTTCACCAGGCACCGCTGCAGGTACCCACTGCGGGATGTTTTTACTGTAGTGTCAACCAGCCTGGGGACGTGGGGCAAGCAAAGGGCGGACGGACAGGAACGGAAGGCAGAGACATGGCATCAAAAGCATGCCTCGCACGCTGTAGTCGTAGTGCATCCGCAGCCCCTCCAGGTTCTTCACCAGGCACCACTGCAGGTACCCACTGCGGGATGTTTTTACAGTCGTGTCCACCAGCCTGCCGGTTACCGGGCAAGCATACGTGGAATGGAGGAGCAAGGGGGAAAGGGGGACAAGACAATAAGGGCGCACCTCGCACGCTGTAGTCGTAGTCCACTCGCAGCCCCTCCAGGTTCTTCACCAGGCACCGCTGCAGGTACCCACTGGGGGAGGTCTTGACTGTCGTGTCCACAAGGCTGGGGGACATTAGGGGCGTGCACACAGAGGGGAGAAAGAAATGGATAGCAGGGACAAGACAAGAAGGGCGCGCCTCTCACGCTGTAAGTCGTAATGCATCCGCAGCCCCTCCAGCTTCTTCCCCAGGCACCGCTGCAGATACCCGCTTCGGGATGTTTTGACAGTCGTGTCCATGAGGCTGGGGGTTTTCGGACAAGCAGAAAGAAGGAAGGAACGGATGGCAGGGACTCACTCACTCACTCACTCACTCACCCACTCACTCACACTCAATCACACTCACGCACTCCACTCCCCCTACTCACCCGTCTCTGCCTGCCATGCAGTGGAAATAGTACTCCTGCGGCCGCAACCCAGTCAGGAACCGATCAGCAATAAAACCCCCAGCCCTTGCTTCGCTGCTCCACGCCTCAAAGCACGGCAAAGTCTTCCCGGAGGCCATGCGCGGCACGCGCTTCCCCTCCAGCTCCTGCTGTCCCAGCAGCACCGCAATCTGGTTGAAATTCACGCCGCTGCCCTTGGCGCCCGTGACCGTCATCAGCGACATGCAATTGGCCGGGAAAGGTTTCAGCTGCCCGTCGGGCAGCGCGGCGGAGGTCGCGGCGGTGGTGACCTTGCTGAGCGCGGAGGTCATTCGGTTGTCGAGGGCGGCTGTAGCGGCGTCTTTCCGCGTGCGCAGTTGTAGGGCCACGTGCTGCCTCACCCACTCCTTGTTCGCAGCTAAAAATTGTAAAACAACAGAAGGGGAAGAAAGCGGAAGGGGGAAGGGAAGATTACAGGGGAAAGTAGAACGGGTGCATAAGAGAGGGCGTCGTACAGCGAGCCCCACGAAGTGAGCATGCACAGTGTCCCAGGTAGGTCCCCTGAGTTACCACCCTGATCCCACTGTGACTCGCCGCAGAACTCAACTCGCTCTCGGCCTTCTTCCCAGTGAGCCCCACGAACTGAGCGTAAACGGGATCCCTTATGGGTGCACTCAAAAGGAATATCTGGGATGGGAGCTCACAGAAATTACTCATGCCCTCTCCTCTTGTAGCGCATCTAAAACAATGGACCCACTCACTCTCTTGGCCTACTTCCCCGTGAGCCCCACGAAATGAGCATGCATGCATGCACGCATGGGGTCCCTGTTGGTTCGACTACTCCTTGTGTTAAGAATTCCGACTTGTGCCTCTGCAGGAAACTGCCACTCTCAGCCTTTTTCCCGGTCAGTCAGTCCCACGAACTGCTCGTAACGGGATCCGCAATGCTGTCCGCCCGCAATATGATTGCAACAGTTACTCTAGAGAAATTCCAGACACCTTTGAAAGAAGAACTCACTCTCGGCCTTCTTCCCAGTGAGCCCCACGAACTGAGCGTAAACGGGATCCCCGATGCTGTCCGCCCGCGATATGATTGCTGCTCGCTCCGCCTCAGCCGGAGCTGTCAGCAGCAGATCGCCAACACCGCAGGTGAACCCGCGGATCTGAGGGGAAGAGGGAGAGACAAAGAGAAAGAGGGGAGAGAATTGAAAAGGAAGGGGGAGGGGGGATTCGCCTTTGCTGGGGCTGTCAGCAGCAGGTCGCCCACCCCGCAGGTGAACCCGCGGATCTGAGGGGGAGAGGGAGAGGGGGAGGGGAAAGGGGAAAGGGGAAAGGGGAAAGGGGAAAGCGGAAAGGGGGAAAGGCACGTGACAGCAGCAGGTCGCCCACCCCGCAGGTGAACCCGCGGATCTGAGGCGGAGTGAAGAGGGTGGGGAGGAGAAGGTTCGGGAAAGGGTGGTTTGAAAATCGCTTGATGAAGATTTAAAAATGCTTCCGAAGCAGTTGAAAGGGGGAAATTGCCTGCAGAAACCACTGGTACAGACCCCCTCCAAAAAGAAAAAAACAAAAAAAACAGTCACCTGGAGGAAGGTGGTGAGGAGGCGGCTGAGCGAGGAGAGCAGTTTGCCGGCAGCAGGGCAGCCATAGAGCTCCTGGAAGCAGTGCACGAGGCCGTAGCGGGCGAACTGTGCCTTGTCAAACACTCCTGTCACCACCTCACCGCCCCGCACCTGGTGGGAAGTAGGGGGACAGGTGAGAGAGAAAAGTGCAAGTGGTGTGTGTGTGTGTGTGTGTGTGTGTGTGTGTGTGTGTGTGTGTGTGTGTGTGTGTGTGTGTGTGTGTGTGTGTGTATACGTACGTGTTGATTGTCAAACACCCCCCTTTCCACCTCGCCGCCCCACCTGGGAGGATAGGAAAGGGAGGGTCATGACTTGTGCAGAAGCATGTGAGTGAGGAGGATGCATGGACTGGTGTGTTCAAATTCGGACAGATATATGCTCACCAGCAGCAGAGGAGCATTCTTATCACATCTTTTGAGAATTCTCAAAAGTGATTCCCAAATCTGCTAGCTCTCTAACTTTGCAGCCACCTACTCACCCGCAGAGTAGCGTCCTCCTGCCGCCCCTTGCCCCAATAGCGCGACGACACCTTGCATGCCACCTTGCATGGCACCTTGCATGCTCTTACTCTATAACATCTCACCCGCAGAGTCGCGTCCTCCTGCCGCCCCTTGCCCCAATAGTGCGACGCCACCTTGCATGCCATCTCCCATCCAACCCACGGGCTCTTGCAGTTGCTGTGTTGAAATCTTTCTATCGTAACATCCCACCCACAGCAGTTGCTGTGTTGAAATCTTTCTATCGTAACATCCCACCCACAGCAGTTGCTGTGTTGAAATCTTTCTACCGTAACATCCCACCCACAGCAGTTGCTGTGTTGAAATCTTTCTCTAGTAAAATCCCACCCACAGCAGTTGCTGTATTGAAATCTTTCTATAGTAACATCCCATCCACAGCAGTTGCTGTGTTGAAAATTTTCTTTAGTAACATCTTACCCGCAGAGTCGCGTCCTCCTGCCGCCCCTTCCCCCAATAACGTGCCGACACCTTGCACGCGACCTCCATTGTCATTGGCTGCTGCCCCTCCGTCAGCAGCTGTAGCAGCGCCGTGATCACCTGTGGGGAGGGGAGGAGGGAGGGAGAGGGGCGGGAGAGGTGTGAGCATGGAAGGGAGAGGGGAGAAGTGAGAGCGGAAGCAGAGAATGGGAGAAGAGGAGAAGAGGAGAAGAGGAGAAGAGGAGAAGAGGAGAAGAGGAGAAGAGGAGAAGAGGAGAAGAGGAGAAGAGGAGAAGAGGAGAAGAGG